CAAATTGGCGAAAAATGTGGTTTCCAAGGATGCTTGGGAGTTTAGATTGTATGCGCTAGACCTGGAAAAACTGTCAAACTGATTTGGCTGGACAATATGCTAGGCGGAGTAGAGAACCGATTATTATTCTTGAAGCTGTAGCTGATTATGATTTGTGAATTTGGCATGCACATTTTGGTTTTCCCAGGTCGAATAATGACATTAATGTGTTTGAGGCATCTCATTTGTTTGCAAATCTTACAAACAGTATAGCACATCCTTGTCATTATGTTATTCAAGGATAAGAGTACAACATAGGATATTATTTAGCCGATGGTATATATCGAAAATGGTCCACTATGGTACAAACAATTTATGAACCTCGAGGGATAAAAAAGAAGTTATTTGCGATGATGAAATAATCGTGCAGAAAAGACGTAGAACATGCATTTGGAATTCTCCAATCACGATTTGCAATAGTCAAGGGACCAGCACTTTTTTAATAAACGTGTATTGCATGATATAATGTCAACGTGCATTATAATGCACAATATGACCATTGAGGATGAACGTGATCGATGAACAAGCAGATATACAAGGTTGGAGAGAAGCACCGGCTCCTGAAGTTGATATAGCTAGAGACGAGAATATTATATTTCAAGAATTTCTTGCTCGGCATAGACAAAATAAAGATAAAGAAACTCATTATGCACTTTGTAATGCATTGATTGAGCATTTAATTTGTTGGGACCATATAGTAATTCCGATAATTAAATGTACTAGATGTTTTATACTATATTATTCTTGTGGAATAAACTAAAACTTTAAAAATATTGTTCAATTCATTTTTTAAATAATTAATGTTATGAAATTTTTTTTAATGTTTTTAATATTTACATCACAAGTTATATTTAATAATAAACTAATTAATTTCGAGCTAAATTATATTAAACTAAATAAATTCGAACTAATAATTGAGAAATTAAATTATTTTAGTGTAATAAGTTGGAGATGAATAAAATTTAGTTTAAGAATATGCTTAGAATATTTCTTTTGGTATGACATTTAGTGGAGAAATTTGATGTTTGGGTGTAATGTTGGTTGGAGATGTCCTTAAAATTAATTTGCATTATGGTAGAAAAGCAAGAGACTTTGAGAAAATGGAAGGTTACTTAGCAGGGAAGGAGCTTCCCGACATTCTTAATTGGCATTAACCAAGATGCATTTGAATCACCTATCTGGATTAGCTTCTTTTAGGCATTCCTTTTCTATCCTACTTTTTATTTAAATTATCTGTAGTTGCTGACCAACCTTGAAGGAATCTAGCTTGATTGCCTCCTCTTCTATAATTGAATGATGGGTTTAATTAACTCGGGGTAGCTCAAATTATTAAACCCGATTATGAACGTAAATAGGAAATGAATAGGTAAAATGATGTCGTAAGGTCGCGAGGATCGTATATTATATTAGAAAACGATAAATGAACTATTACAACGGTAGATTAGGACAAAGTAGATAGAGTTTGTAAGAAAATGTGTAGTGTGTGTCCTAATGAGACAAACTAGGGGGTATTTATATAAAATAGACCCCAATCGATCCCCCTAAACCGGGGGTGGTTGAATCTCCTGTGTTGACCGCATCCCGATTCGGGATCGAATCCGGGGGTGCCGAGCTCAAAGCGGCCGAGCTCAACATGACCCGAGCTCGGCATGACTGAGCTAGGTGCCTTGGGCCGAGCACGGGGCTCAACTTCGGGGCCCGGGTCCGTCCTCTCAGGTCGGTTGCCCGATTATAATATATCAATCAGATGGTTATAATCTTGTCAAATGCCACATCACCCTCCTCTAAATCTCTTAAAAATGGGTGATCGAGCTTGTAATCTGAACAAACAGACAAATCCAACTAAAACAACTGAACTACATCAGCTAAAATTAAACTTTGACTTGGGAGTCTCATCACTTTATATTGTGCATTTGTGTTAATGTCACAGGATTATTAGATAGGTTTAATGTTGATACTTGGCAAGTTTTTGTTGAAAAAATAGCAAAAATGGCATTATAAGTGGCTATTTTTGTGATACAAATATATGTGGAATCCATTTTCGATTTGGATCGGGTCAAAGTATATTCGAATTCTTCGTAGTGAGATAAAGAGATTGATATATTTACGCTCAAAACAGACAATGGGTGAATGAGAAATTGATTTTCAAAAAGACAAATTTGAGTTGGAAAGACTTATAAATAGCCTTTGTCACACATTGGAAAAAGAAAGATATTTGTACCACTATATATACAAAGACCATTTTATAGAGTTAATACCCAAAATCGTCCTCGACTATAGTGGTTTTTCTCAATTTCGTCCTAAACGACTTTGGTGACCTAATATCGTCCCAGACTTTTGTGTTTCGCTCAATTTAGTCCCAGACTTTTGTATTTTTGCTCAATTTAGTCTCTCATTTGTTATTCTGTCCATTTGGTGTTAAATAAATAGACAATTCAGTAATTTTAATATTGGTATCTCTTTACTCATAGACATGTGAACTGCGAAATCCCTTTTTTTTTTACGAATTACTCCCAGAATTACTCCTAAAACTGCGAATATAAAATTTGATTTGTAGGTCCGGGAGTAATTCTGGGTGTAATTCGTACAAGAAAGAAGAATTTCGCACTTCACAAGTTGAAAGTAAAGAGAGATCAATATTGACATTATTGAATTGTCCCTTTATTTAACACCAATTTGACGGAATAACAAATGGAGGACTAAATTGAGCGAAACACAAAAGTCTGGGACGATATTAGGTCACCAAAGTCGTTTAGGACGAAATTGAGAAAAACCACTATAGTCGAGGACGATTTTGGGTATTAACTCCCATTTTATATGTTGAACTGTATATCATAGAGGCTCTCTGTCACGCCCCACTTCTAGGACATGACCCGGTCGTATCGTTACGTGAAGACCTGTAACAATACGAAGCCTAACCATACATACCTCTCAGAATCTTCATAATAACACTTGAATATACAATAATTCCACAACCCAAAATTACAAAATATAATCGACTTGTTTTTCCCAAAAACTCATCAAATCCACTATTAGATATTTACAATCAAGAGTAGTATACCCAAAATGCATCACAAGCACCAAAACCAAGCACAATGGTCTACCAAAAATACAAGGGTCAAAGGGAAAGTCTAAATAAACAAAAATCCATGATAATCTCCAAAACTAGGACTAAGTCTCCAAGTTTCAAAAGTCACCTTCGAGACCCCACCACTTGTGCTCGTGCTATTCACATGTCCTTAACTACTCTGAAACATGAGAAAAATACAAATAATGAGCTAATGCCCATTAAGTGGTACTCCTCTCAACCTCAGATCAAGTAGCCCCAATAGAATACAAAAAAAAAAAAACTTTAGAGTAATAAATAGATGCAAAACTCAATCCTTAAATTATATTAAAATCATAACATACTTCCATCATACTATAAACTTTAGCTACATGGGCATCAACAATATTTCATAATACAATACTTTCAAAAGCACAAACCATACCTTAACATATGACTCATTGGCAACCTACAACCACCATTATATTATGTGGCACATGCCATTATCGGTATAATGGTCCAAAAAGACTCGACGATTCGGAATGAGTCAGACTCGACGATTCAGAATGAGCCGGATGGAACGTTTCAACAAATAATTCAAAAGACTCGACGATTCGGAATGAGTCAAGCTCGACGATTCGGAATGAGCAATTAGGAACGTTCCAAACCGAACAAAACAATCAACAAAAGGTAGGTTGCCTCATGAGTTTGACCGAACATTCAAAATAGTTCTTATAAACAAATAGCCCGATGTAGCAAAAATCATTTTCCTTTAAAAAAACCACATAACAAGTACATAGTCTATTGTACCAAGTTTTTCAAGTTACATATTTTCTCAAGATACATAATATTTCCAATTATTGATAATAAATTTATCAAACTAAGAAATATGCAAGGTATAAACCCTTCCCAAATGATAATTTTCTTAGTACATAACTCGATCTTTAAAAAATCGTATAATAGTTTATTACACTAAAATAGTTTCAAAAGAGTTGAACTAGCTTATTGGAAAGAACTTAAGTTATTGTTAAACTTGAGGTCAAGGGTTTAATCCTACTTTAAATAAATAATCCATTTTGTAAGCATAATATATACAAAACAAACACATAAAATAATAGCAGGTAGAATCGAACCCATAACTATCCACTTACACAGCAACACCTTAACCAATCTACCATCAATACACATAATGATAACTTACGTCCAGAATCCATCATATTCCAGTCTAAAACACAGTCCGACTGATCCAAAAACAAATTCAATCCCAAATACAGCTTAACAATTTTAATCCAGGCTTCAGAATACATAGCTCAGTATTTTCAGACCCAAAAACATATCATAGCCCAAAATATTTTAAACTCATACTAACCCTAAAATGAGTATTCAAAATAGTAGAGATTTCAAAATAGGTTATACATGAGTTTCGCAAAATAGGAGAGAACAGTTAACCACTTACCTAAAAAATCCAAATCTTAGCTATTAAGCTCGCCCAAATACTCCTTGTCAAAATCCCTAGAATACTCCAATAGCTTTGAGATCTAAGCTTAAAGAAGATGGAGATCAAAGCTCCAAGGTTTTTCCTTCCCCTACCTCTCTCTAGTTAGCTCCCCTTATTTTCTTTCAAATGAAATGTTTTTTCAAGACGAAAGTGGTTCCTTAACCTTTAAGGGTAAAGAGGGGTAATTTAGTAAATTCATCCAATATCAATTTTAATAACCTTTGACTTGTTGACCTATTTTAATAACATATGTATATTTTTATTTCCAAGATAGTGGGTATTACACTCTCATTATTATAAAACAGTTTCAAGAATTTCTTCAAAAACAAATCAGTTAATTTTATAAGCAGCCTTTTGATTTCCGATCTACTACAACTTTGTCCACAATTTACAAGTATATTATATAAAAATAATATTTCTAAAGATACTGAGCTTGAGAAATTGCATCTTGGAGATATTTCAAGGTTCTTTGATGATGTAGGAACCACATGAACCAGAACTCAAAATGATCTTCTGTGATTACTTGTATGTACTTCTCTGATGGATTCTTCAAATTCTCACTTTCATTTGCTCTCTTAATTTTTGCAATTGGGATTGATACCTTATAATGCATTCTCTTGGACTTTCCAGTTGAAGAAGGGATCTTGATTGATCTATCACTAAGGAAGGCAAGTTTATGGGTAGAAACAAAGAGTAGGCCAGGCATTGGACCAGATGTTGTTGATAAATAACATTGGGATGCCTTCAATAGCTTTTCTTCGTCTCTAACAGGACTGAAGTTGTTCTTGAACACCTTTTCGACGCCACCTGCTTGGAGAAGTTTTGCCGCAAGAATCAGCTTGCCCTTCACAGTGTCTGTTATCTTTGGTTTTAATCTCCCCGCACCATTTCTTAGTTTTGATGGTTTTGAAGGGGGATACAGATGGCATTGGGTGGCTGAAGAATGAGGAAGTGCCAATTTTGTTGAGCTCTGATTCAATAAAACTGCCCAGTAGTTTATGGGAACCTGCAGGTTCTCTCCAGTAGTTCTTGATTTGATCTGGTTTTGCTTCATCTCTAACTTTGGTTCTTTGTTTTGGCAAGGATAACAAGAAATTATCTTTGCTCTTAAAGGGTGAGTAGACACGAATGAACTGCTTTCTGGTATATAGCTGATTCTTGATAAGAGATAATATAGTGTTTGGTTGTTGTTAGTTTGTTAAGTTTGTTTCGTATTTATTGTTGTGGTTACTTTGAGTTTAGTAGTTTTAGTTTCACCTTTGTAGTATAAATATCTCTTCTGAATAATGTAAATTCATCACTTCTTTACCAATTCACATGGTATCAAGAGCTATTCGATCTAAACTATATATTTTTTTTCCCCTTCACCTTAAGTTCTATTTTCCATGGCTGCTAATGATGCAAATACTCAACCTACTGTCTCCCCCACTCCAGTTAATCCGGTACCTAATGTTGAAGGTGCTAATACCATTCCTAATCATCTTGAACCTAGCCAACCACTAATTGTGGTTACATTTCATAACATTCAAAAACTCACTTCCTCCAACTATCTCACATGGAAAATTCAGCTTGAAGCCATTCTTATTGGCTATGATCTTAAACATTTCATTGATGGCAGTAAACTCATCCCAACTGCTACTATCACTGTGCAAGATCGCGTACTTCCAAATCCTGCTTATTCCACTTGGATACGCCAAGATAAGCTCATTTTTGGCGCTATAGCTGGTACTTTGTCCTCAGCTGTCGGGCCTCTCATTTCGAGTGCCCAAACTTTTCACGAGGCATGGAATATCCTAGCAAATACTTATGCTCGCCCCACCCGTGGTCACATAAAGCAACTCAAGGATCAACTCAAGAATATCATCAAAGGCGGCTCCACAATTACCGAGTACATACACCAAATCAAGAGAGTTGTTGATGAACTTGCCCTTTTAGGAAAACCCATGGAACCTGAAGATATCACAGACAAAATTCTTGATGGTCTGGATTCTGATTACCAATCTGTTATTGATGCTGTTAATGGACGTGACTCCATCATCTCGTTTGAAGAGTTGCATGAAAAGTTAATTAACAAAGAACTTGCTCTACACCGTGCAACTCCTCCTAACACGTTTCCAGCTACAGCTCATCCCACTCAAACTCGACCAGTAAGCAATTTTCAGACTCGGCAACCCTCATATCCCCGCTTCACCAACAATTCATCTCGGCCTGCTCCAAAACCCTTTCTTGGTCGCTGCCAGTGGTGTAATGTTCAAGGTCATGTTCTTTTTCATTGTTCTGTCTTTCGTGGACAGTACCCAAATATTCAGTTTCCCCCTCGTCCTACACGCAAACAAGAGGTAAAACCACAGGCTCATGTTGCTGCCACCTCACCAGTTGCACCCTCCTGGTTGCTAGACAGTGGTGCCTCCCATCATGTTACCACGGATCTTTCAAATCTTGCTCTTCACACACCATATGATGGTACAGATGAAGTTATGATAGGGAACGGTTCTGGTCTTCCCATCTCACATACTGGTTTTGTTTCTCTCCCTTCTACATCTAAGTCATTTTCCCTTTCTAATGTTTTGTGTGTTCCCACCATGTGTCGAAATGTTATCTCTATTTCACAATTTTGTCGTGATAATAATTCCCTTATTGAGTTCTCACCCACTACCTTTTGTGTTAAGGACATTCAGACGGGGGCACCCCTCCTAACCGGACCATCTAAAAATGGAGTTTATGAGTGGCCGACGTCTCCTAGTGTGTCTACTCATGTCTTCACCACAATGGTTTGTGACAATAATTGGCATCACCGCTTAGGTCATCCCTCCGCTCCCATCCTCGACCAACTATTGGTTCGTTTAGGCATTTCTAATTCTTTTGCTCAGTCACATTGTAATGCATGTCTTAGCAATAAAAGTCATAAACTTCCCTTTAAAAACTCCACTCTTACTACAGCAGAACCGCTTGAGGTTGTGTTCAGTGATGTTTGGACTTCTCCACTACATTCCTTTGATAATTACAAATACTATATTATTTTTGTAGATCACTATACAAAATATGTATGGTTGTATCCACTCAAGCGGAAGTCTGACACATATGATGTGTTTGTACGCTTTAAGTTGATTGTTGAGAAATTTTTTAATAAAACACTTCGAACCTTGTACTCTGACAATGGTGGTGAGTACAAAGCCTTGTCATCTTTCTTAACACTAAGTGGCATCTCTCATCTCACCTCTCCGCCACACACTCCCGAGCATAATGGGTATTCGGAGCGTCGACACCGTCACATCGTTGAGACGGGTCTTGCTCTTCTTACCCAAGCCTCCATGCCACTTAGTTACTGGACTCTTGCCTTTTCCACTGCAGTCTACCTCATTAATCGCCTTCCCACACCAACTCTTAACCATCACTCCCCTTACTCTAAACTCTTTGGTAGTGAACCAAAATACTCTAGTCTTCGCAGCTTTGGATGTCTGTGTTATCCATGGCTCAAACCATATACTGTCCACAAGCTTCAGTCTCGTTCATTACCTTGTGTTTTTGTCGGGTACGGGGCATCTCAACATGCTTTTTATTGTTTAGAACCAACTACAAATCGTATATATGTGTCTCGACATGTACGGTTTGTTGAAGCGTGGTTCCCATTTGCACATATTGCTAAAGACCTCTCCCGCCCTTCGTCCTCCAGCGCAGGTGAGTGGTGTTCTATCTCTCTTCCCATCGCCCATTCACCGGCGCAACCACATTACCAAAACATCACACCGCCACCCCTACACAATCTTCCTCCAAATTCCCCTATAACTTCCCCTCTATCACCTATACTCCCCTCACCTCCTACTCAAAATACTCAGTCATCTCCATCACCATCTCTGCCTGGTTCTACATCCCACTCTTCTCCCTCTAGTTGCTCACAAACGAGTCAAGTTTCATCTCCTGCTACTTCTCCTCCTGACCCACCAGATTCTGTACCAGTTCCTGCCCCACGTGTCGTTGTCACTCGGTCGAAAAACAACATTTTTAAACCCATTCAAAAACTCAATTTATCAGCTCAAGTTGTTCCTATTGAACCTGTTTCTGTTAAGCAAGCTATGCAGGATCCAAACTGGTTGGCAGCCATGAAGGATGAGTTTGCAGCGTTAGCTCATAATGAGACTTGGGATCTTGTCCCCCCCGATCCATCTCACAATCTGGTGGGTTGCAAATGGGTCTTCCGCCTCAAGTATCATCCAGATGGGTCCATTGCTCGATACAAAGCTAGACTGGTTGCCAAAGGCTTTCCTCAGCGACCGGGGCTTGATTATACTGAGACTTTCAGTCCGGTTGTTAAACCATCGACTGTTCGGCTGGTCTTAAGTCTAGCTGTTACTCATGTGTGGGTAACTCGTCAATTGGACATTAACAACGCATTTTTGAATGGAACTTTGAATGAAGATGTGTTCATGACTCAGCCTCCCGGTTTTATTGATCGTGCACTACCTCAGCATGTGTGTCGGTTACGAAAGTCGTTGTATGGTCTGAAACAAGCCCCTCGGGCTTGGTACACTGAGCTGCGTAATTACCTTCTGCAGATTGGTTTTAAAAATTCGAAGGCAGATACTTCATTGTTTTACTATACTCATCACTCGGACTCTGTCTATGTCCTTGTGTATGTTGATGATATAATTGTAACCGACAAACATGAAAAATCTGTTTGCTCCTTTATTTCTTGTCTGGCTCGCAGGTTTTCTTTAAAGGATCTTGGTTCTCTTTCCTTCTTTCTTGGTGTTGAAGTGTCTCCTTGCTCTCACGGCCTCTTTCTCAACCAAAGGAAGTACATTTATGACATACTTTGTCGTGCGGGGATGGCGGATGCTAAACCTGTGGCCACACCTATGGCTATTTCTCCTCCACTACATCTTACAACCGGACACACTCTTTCGAACCCGTCTGAGTTTCGGGCACTAGTTGGGAGCTTGCAGTATTTGTCATTGACCAGACCAGATGTAGCATTCGTTGTTAATAAACTTTCTCAATTTCTGGCAGCACCAACCGTAGACCATTGGGCGGCACTGAAACGTTTGCTTCGATATTTATGCGGAACTTTGGATCATGGTATTTTCCTTTCTGCTGATTCACCGGTGCAACTTCATGCTTACTCTGATGCTGATTGGGCTGGTGACAAGCATGATTACCGCTCTACAGGAGCTTATATTGTCTACTTAGGACGTAATCCTATCTCGTGGAGTTCTAAGAAACAGCGAACTGTTGCCCGTTCCTCTACGGAGGCTGAATATCGCACTGTTGCTGGTACTGCTGCGGAACTTGCTTGGATTTCATCTCTCCTGAGCGAGCTTGGTTTTTCTCTCCCGGAGAAACCAATTATTTATTGCGATAATCTTGGCGCAACCAGTCTCTGTGCAAACCCAGTTTTTCATTCTCGTATGAAGCATGTTGCTCTTGACTTTCACTTTATTCGTGAGCGTGTCCAGAGTGGTGCACTTCGTGTTTCTAATATTGCAAGTGATGATCAGCTGGCTGATGCTCTTACGAAGCCTCTACCACGGCGCCGCTTTCAGCTTCTGGTGTCCAAGATTGGCCTCGCCGGACGGCTGTCCATCTTGCGGGGGCATGATAAGAGATAATATAGTGCTTGGTTGTTGTTAGTTTGTTAAGTTTGTTTCGTATTTATTGTTGTGGTTACCTTGAGTTTAGTAGTTTTAGTTTCACCTTTGTAGTATAAATATCTCTTCTGAATAATGTAAATTCATCACTTCTTTACCAATTCACAATTCTTGCATAAGTAAAATGTATATATAGGTTAAGTAGTCTGCAGTTGGTGGATCTTAAGCTTCAGTTTGATGAGTCAGATTTTGGTCATCATGAGCCAAAAAGTTTAAAAGCTAGAATAAGAGAAATATGGGGTTTTCATTTGTTTTTAATTTCTATTTCAAAACCATATTGGGATGATGATATGGTGACTCATGTTCTCTATGCTGATTGCATGCAAGCATGTGTTAGTGTTTTACTGCAACTTTTTGGGTGGCTTTCTCATCGCACATAATACTTTGCCCTTCAACAAATGAAATCTTTGAATGCTTATCTGATCATCAGCAATCTTTGCATCATCAAAACATTACTTTTATCATGTTTGATGTGTAAAGGCAGAAATTTTTTTATCTCACATCAACTTGCC